AGAAAAAATCTCTGACAGGGCATAACTGCCTTTTCTTTTTTCTTCTTACAAGTGTTGAAACTGAGACAGGCACACATTGATTTGGGATGCTCTGGGGGAAGTCCTCTTATAAGCCTATGATTTTATAACCTGTAATAGACTAACCACTGCAATCTCCATGATCAAGAGGTTGATGAATGAGAATGGAATGTGGCTTATACAACAGTGGCCAGTTTAGGATGAAGAGAAAATGACACAGACTTTACCTTGAAGAAGTTCTCATTTTGTTCATTTCATTCATGTCTAGGCCTTAATAAGAGGAACTGATGTTGATTTAGATTCACTCCTTATATGAGACCTGTGTTATACTTTATGAGGAGGGTTGCCTGGCAGAGTCTTTGTAATCAACAAATGGTTGGGGAAGAAGTGAATGGAACTGGTCTCCACGAGGCTGGCTCAGCCACTAGGGGATAAGCCTTTCCCCTGTGTCCTTCTCTTTCCCTCATGTAGTGGTCTTTCCTAAGTCTCCATGGAGCTTTTCATGATTTTCCGGTAAGTTTTCTGGTCTACCCTGGGAATGTTACTTGGATCTAGGTGAAATTAATTGCAATATGATCTCTTTCCTTTACACTATCCAAATTTAAATCCTCACCCCTCAAGCTGATAGTGTTCTTTTAATATTTTTCAGTTTGACACAGAAATAACAGATTTTAACTTTTTGATAAGAAAATCAAATCAGTGTACACATGGAGTGCCCTCCCACCCCCATCATTAAGGCTACTACCCAGAGCTGCTGTTATTACACATAAGAGGTCTGAAAGAGCTCACTCTGAGTAAGGAGCTACTTTGCTTGGCAATCGAGTGTCATGTGACCACCCCCAGCCCACTCCACTAAAGATCCAGGAGCAGAGGGCACTTGAGGGAGTGGATGCTGTAGAATATCCTCCAATCCCACTCTTCTTCAGGGACCTAACACTCTCTTTATCAAACCAAAGGCTCTTTGCCTGTGCACTATTGTCCTCTTCTTGCTTTTGTTTCTAGGTAATGGATAGGTTTGAGGTTTGATTAAGGCCAGTTACAGCCCCCTGTGAGTAAAGAGCAGAATAGAAATGGAAAGGTCCAGTGTGTCTATGTGGTGTATAAGAATTATGTGATATGCCATGGCCCATCTGGTGGTCCTGTCAGACAATCCCTCCAAATAAGATCAGCATCAGAAACCTCTTTGGCTGTGTGGTAGAAGGTGGTGCAATTGGAGGGAAAGTGGAGAAATAATATAATTTTGATGTTTTTAAAAAAAAAATCTGTAAATTTTGCTCTCTGTGAATGAGGCTTGTACTGGGACAGGGCCTGATTCCTATGGTTGGTTAGATGCCACATGGCCAATAAATTACCTTCATGACCATGGTCTAGAAAGGTATTTGTACTCTTTTAAGCTACCTTGGAACTCAGAAGGGTCATGGCTATTGAGGAGATGTGTCAGGGACATAGGGTCCATAGAGTATTAGGGGATTTTGTGCCTAGGGAATATTTGTGGTGTAGGGTGTCTGGCAGGGGTGAAGGAGCCCCTGAGACCATGGGGAAATTTTGTCTTTCTTGACCGAGGCATGGCATGAGGGCAGCATGGTGCAGTCAAGAGAGGCTTGGCTTGCTCCATTCTGGCCCGTCTGTTTGGGGTGAGTGTGGTCTCCAACAGCTCTCCTATTTTCCAATTTATTTGGTCAAGTTTGAAACTGCAGAGCAAGGTGGCACTTTCAGGAGACAGAGTGGAGGAGTGTGTTTGAGATATGAGAAACTTTGGGGTGAGTAAGATCAATGGGGTTAATCTGATGAATTTAAACCAAATTGCTCCTCTCATCATGGTCTTAAAAGATAAGAAGCTCCCGTGTGGGATGTCACAAGCTTGTGACAATTGAGTTCAGAAGTCATCACCCAGACATTATCTGAGGAGACTGAGGTTTCCTTTCATGCAGTGGCAGAGAAGGGGCAAGACCTATTGAGCAAGGGAGAAACAGAGCTTGCAGAACTGATGCTAACAAAATCAGTCATATTTTTTAGAAAAAAAAAATTTCTGAGAACAAAAAGGAGAGTCAATTTTTCTGTGTAGTTAGAGGAATAAAATACAGGGGTTTGTGGGCATATTTGTTGAGGGGCAACAATAAGGAAAGAAAGAAGGATAGCTTCTTATTTTACTCTATAGCTCTTGATACTAATATGCATACTTCCTACCAAAAGTAAACATTGGGAGTAGATTTTTTTTTCATCAGGGATTCCTGGGCAAGAAGTCGGCTTAGACAATCAAAAAAAAAAAAAAAAAGTAGGCATTCTGCTCAGAAGCAGCTTGAGCAGAAGTGAGCTAGAGCCTTGTGCCCAAAAAGTGGCTTGTCAGGGGCTTAGGCAAGTGGCAGACTAAAAGTGAATTCCCAGTGTGGGACTAAGTCACCACTTGTCGCTGGGTGCAAAGAGTGACCTTGCCGCAGGGTGGCCTTAAGGATCCAGATTTTCAGGATCAAAGTCATTGGATAGGGAGACAGTCTTCCAAGGGATGGACTCAAAACACTTAGAGTGTCTGTGAATTCCTGCATTGACTGCTCAGGGTTAGCCAGCCACCAGCAGCCCCTCTGAAGGGGAAGGGCACTGGGTAGAGAAGAGAAGGCTGTAAGGAGATAATAGTTGAAACTACTGGATAGAGAGTTAACTTGTGATTGACATGTGGGGAACTGCTAGAGGCTGATGATGCTGATAAGACATGAACTAGTCTGGTCATTTGCTTTATTTTTCCCTTACTCCCTCTCTCCTTTCTTGTTTTCTACTATCCTAACATTTTTTCCTTTTTTCTGTCTCTCTGAAAAAAGATTTCCTTGCTGCTGCCCATAGATGCATATCTTCATTTTCATTATTAGTATAGGTACTGGCATGATGCAGGGGCTGGGGTGAGGAGTGGGGAACAGTACTTCAAGGGAGAAGTGGCCCTTCTGACTGAGTCTCACAGAGCCCAGTTCAACAGAGGCAGAAACAAAGCATTTCTGACATTTCCTGTGATCTTCTCATTTGTTCCCTGTGGCTAAGACCTCAGACGACCCTCCCTGAGGTGGAAGTTTTCATCCCAACTTTTGGCGCTCCAGGTCAATGTCAACAGTTTTCTAGGTTTCATGTAAACATAAACACACATACACACACGTGCTAGATGTGGAGTACTAAAATAGAGGTGGCAAATTAAGGCCTATGGCTGTGTTGAAATGAAAAGGGAATAAGAAGGAAATAAAGCCAAGAACAAAAAAAAAAAAAGCTGAAGTGGCAATAGTCCCTAAGGGGCGCATGGGGGACAGCATCAAAGAAGCTGGGAGGATTGCATGGTGACATCAGCACGGCTCTAGCACGTAGGCCCAGACCTGAGGCAGACAAGAGCTGGGACCCCGGAAGAGGGTAGTCACCTCTCAAATGGCCTCCCTTTCCACTGCCTCGGCAGAGTACCAGAGTACGCAGCATAGCTAAGCACTCGTTAGGTAAGTGGAATAAAAAGGAGGCTCACTTAAGGAAAAGCACCTCTGACCAGATTCAGTCTCCCAAATAGCAAATGAGGGGCACACGGGGCCTGTCCCTTTGGGTGGGCAGAGGGATGCCATAGACAGGCCTATGAGACAAGTAGTCACCAGGCCTGGGTGTGCTCTCTTCAGTCTTGCTTCCTAGAGTGGGTTTGCTCTATGGCCACCTGCTCTCTGGGCGTCTCCTCAGAGTGCCAGTCCTCCTTCCCATCAAGAAGGGCCCGAGGGAAAAACCAAATGAGGGAGGGAGAGAAGACTGGGCACCGCAAAGTTTCAGTAATAATAAATGAAATCAAGTACATCTGAACAAAGGAAAAGGCATTCTGTTTTACAGCTGATATCTAAAACTTGTTCTTTTTTCTTTTTTAAGATTTAGAAAACAATAAAGGGAATGGGAAGGAGAAGGCTCTTTGAATAATAATTTAAAAAAAAAGCTCACAAATATAAAAAAAAAAAATTCCTCAGTTTTTGAACTTCTCTGAAGAATGGTTCAGTGTGAGATTTTGCACCCTAAATAGTTACATCTGGAATTTTTTTTTAAAAAAATTTCAGTTACACAGAACAAAGACTAACAGTATTTACTTAAAAATATTGTGTGTGTATATATATTTATTTATATATATATCTTTTTGTGGAGCTTTTTTCCTTTTTTGTGATTTTTTTTCTTTTCCTTTTTTTTTTTTTTAAATTTCGTGCCCAAGTAGAGATATGATAGATTGAAACGATGCCCTTGAACATAAAAATTCTTCAAAGGAGCAATACTTTGAAAAATAAAAATTTAAAAATGGTTGAACATTCTTGCAACACCTCCAGAAACTCAACTTGGTACAATGAGAAAAGGAATAATTGAATCAAATCCTCACACAAACGACACAGCCTCTAAGACCCAGAGTATGCTGCTGGTATGAATCTTGCCATCCAGAGAGGGGCTCACATTCTAACACCAGCACATTCCTTCCTGCGCTCCCCACCCCCCACTTAAACTCCATCTCGACCAAGGCATAACCAGAGTCTTTCTTATATTGGTTTTCTATATTTCTGGCAAGACCTTGCAGCAGAGACACATACGTATATACGTGTGCTATGGGCACACACACACATACACACACAAACACACACATACTACACACACAAAATTTCCCATTCAACCCAGATGCACCAAGTGAGCTGAATGATTTTCAGCCAACCACAATGGTGAAAGACAGAAGCACCAAACAGTCTTTGAAATGGGTCAGTTATTACAATTTGATTTTTTTTTATATTCTAATTTTCCTCTTTGTGTTAATTTTTTTAAAAAGCACAAATGAAAAATGAAGAATTCTTTCCAGATCAGTTTAAGGCTTCCCACCAAATGGAAACAGAAGAGGCCTTACACAATATCGTGTGATAAATGTATACCTTTCACAGCCTTAAAATGACAGAGCAAATCATTTTTGCCAGTCACTGATTAAGTATTGTGCCTTTAAATTGATGTCGTTCTTTTTGCTACTATGCTGAGTTTTATTATTACTGATTCTCTTTGATCACATATATGGAAATCTCTTTTAATTTGCTTTAGAATTTCCTGTCCTTATCGAATTATTGGGGTGGCTTTTGTTTTGTTCTGTTTTGCTTTTCACCGGGAAACAAATGTGATTCTTACTGGGTGAATGCTAAAATGGCACATAGTCAGCCTTCAAGTAGCTTCTACAGCTATTTGAGTTTCAAACAGCTGTTTAGCTCCTAGAAGCCTTGCTAGGTGGGACAAAGGACAGGGGAGAAGGGAGAGAAACTGAAAAGAGGGAGGGATTTCTATGCCTTTGCTTTTGGTAAATTTGTTTTCATCAATACAAGTAATCAGGAAGAATGATTGCTTTGTGTTTTATTTGTTAGTTGGTTTTTGTTTAGTTTCTAGATTTGTTTCATTTGATTGTTTAGTTTTACCGCTCCTGGTACAAAAATCACCAGAGAGTTTTGCATGAGAAAACATGACAGTACTTAATGAAACTCAGCACCTAAGGGCATAAGGCAGTTGAAGGTTTTTGTTTGTTTTGTTTTGTTTTGTTCTTTCAATCAGCACCAATCCCATATATGATCTACACTTGGTGTAAGGTATAAAACTTTTTTTCTTTTGGAGTGGAGACAACTCCTTCTTCTCCACTCTATGAACCATAGTGTGGGATTTTTCAATACTGTTTCTTATGTGTAAAAAACAAAAGAAAGGTTTTCTTTTTGTTTTTACTTACAAAACATAGAGAATATCTTTGTATACATACAGCGACTGGAAAGAAAGCTTATCTGAAGGGGTTGTGACTTATTATTATTTTTTTTGTAGTGGTGGTGGTGGTAGTCGTGGTTCTGTGTATTGGGGGAAGGGAAGGTTATACTTCTTGCAAGCGGTATTTACCGCAAACCAAACTTAAGGTCCCCTTCTCAACTTGGGTCAAGATGCTTTTAGAGTGAAGACTCATACTGTAGCAATTCATAAAGGAGCGGTCCATCTCGGTACCGAATGCCTACTGCGGTGGGGGTAACGTACTGCAGAATGTTAATAGTCCTTCTCAGCCTCCTGTCTACAAAATGGGCATCCCAGGCTGGGTATCTCTTTCTTGGCATGTCAATCTTAATGAGGGGCCCTTCTGGGTGGTAAGGACGCCCCGACGGGGTAGAGGGCCCCATGGGTCTCACTTGGAAAACGGGCAAGCAAGTGTCGGCCGTGAGATCCTCCTGTTGTTCCGTTACGGCTCTGGTGGGCGTGACCTGGGTCCCCCGGTACCCAGGGGTCTGAGGCGCCATAGGCTCAACATCGGGGGGCAAAGGGATGCCCCAGAGCAGCTCGGCACAACAGGAGCTGGCTAAGATCTTAGCTCGTGGCCCCGTGGGATGCAGCACACCATAATATAAGAGCATCAGTGCAATCCCAGCCACAAAGCTAATAAAGACACAACACAGTGCAGGCACCGCATAGGAGTCAGTGGTCTCCGGGTTTCTGTAAAAATACCAAAGAAACGTCAAGGCAGCATTCTCGGTCAAGACTATCGTGTAATATGCAAACATTCGATATCGAGTCCGCCCTTCCTTGACGTTAAACCAGCAGAAAATGTACACGATCCCTACCACCATGTTGAAGAGGATCTCCTCCCACTTGGACATGCAGAAGTCTGTTCCACCATGGATGATCCAGAAGGCCATGGCACACCAGTGGACCACCACAAAGATCCCGAAGTAGAGCTGGAAGATGGAAGCAAAGAGGGCAAAAGAGATAACTCTGGATGAGATGGTGAAGAGGCGCCAGAAGAGTTGGATGAGGGCCCCTCTGTAGCTCATGCTCTTCTTGTCATCCCTGGAGTCCCGCAGCAGCTTGTGATAGGAGGCTAGCACCCAAGCCAGGGACATCAGGGAGGTCACAGAGGAGACACCTGCCGGAAAGACACAAACCCACACAGTCAAAACCTTGGACATCAACCGCGGGCCACAGCAGGGCTGCCGTCTGAGGAGATGCCCACACACACGGACGATCTAAAGGAGGAGCGAGAAAGAAACACAAAATCAGGACCAGACTTGGAAGACTCAGCTACTCCCTAACAGTTTTGTTTTTTATAGCTAGTGTTAGTTTCAACAACCCAGTTTGGAAATTCTGGAGATCCTTGGCCCAAGGGTTGAGCTGAGGCTTGTGTACTTTGCCATGGGTTTGAGAACTGGAGCCACTGTGATCATGCAGCAGCAGTGGATTGGCACATCGGCTGTGGGCAGGGCTGTAGGGGTTCTATATGAGGGAAACACAAGTTTACACTGATCCTCGTTGGTGTCCCTGTGTACCAGCAGCCTATGATCTCAGAGAAGTCCAGAGAAGGGATGACCAATTGTGATGAACAGCAGCTTATTCACTGTTCCAATTCCGCAATGATTCTTCCCATCTGAGAAAGCGCTGGAGTCACTCACCCAGAGCCCCAAGGATCCGTTTCCTGAATCTTCTTCCATTTAGTTTCTCCCCTATTTACTACCTAAGGCCACCCTTATCAAGACCCCTGGGATATCCCCTGTTTACCTGGCCACCTTTTTAATTCATTCTGGTCTTACTTGCCTCTCCATAGTCTTCGTTGCTTTTTACAACCAACCACTGCTCAAAGTTCTCTTAGACTTTGGCTTGTGAGGCACTGTCCTCTGGTTTTCCTCCTATTTCAACAGCAGTGTCACTCATACTTTGGGGATGCCTTTTCCCTCACTACTTTGGTGAGGTTTCTAAGGCTTCTGCTCTTCATTCCTCGTATTTCCCCTCCATGGGCAAGTATTCAGGGAGGTTGAATGTTATCGATCCCAAGTGATACTTAAGTAGCCTTAGAACAATTTTATTTATAACTCTGCTTATTTGATGTTTGTAAATAAGTAAAATTAAATACAATAAATAGTCATTGAAGTCTCTTCAAATCTGCCCATGAGCAACAATTAGTTGAGTGTTGCATTATAATCTCCTCTCAAGCAAGATCCTCCCATCACCCTTCGACTCCTCCATGCATTACCTCCACTCAGTCAATAAAACTAACACCTTTTTTGGTATTACTCTTTCCTAAAAGTTTAGAACTAACTGCAACTAAATGCAATTGGAGGTCTGAGTGCTGTCCCATTGGCAACCATCTCCTCACTAAATTCCCAGCTTTCACACTAGAGCTCAATTCCCCTTCAATATCTTTTTTAAGCCCAAAGGTCAGATCTAGGAGTCTTATTCACTTCTTCAGGAGATTAATTAAACTGCCTAGAGCTCGAGCCTTCTGTTTGTCTTTGCCGGTGCTCATGCCCACCTTCCCACTCCTCTCCAAACCTCAGTGTAGAATCATAGTCCTATGTCATTTGACACTCTACCTACATTTGCCCTTCTTCCCCCATCTACACAGCCCCTGCCTCCATCATCTCAAGGAGATGCTCAGATTCTCAGTTTGAAGAATAATATAGTGTGATAATAAAAAAAAAAAATGTTTATATAACCATAGGAAAAATTTGGATGGTTAAGTTTTATGAGCTTGTATCTCTTTTGTAATAAAAACAAAGATTAAAATAAACAGAGGAGAAAATAAGAATCCCAGTTTCTCCATTGAATGAATCTTGAAAGTGCCTAATGATCATTGATGATGATATTCCTATCACTTCTCTGGAGAATTGTGAACATGGCACTTATATGTTCTACTTTGCCTTCTGCCCACACAAGGTCTGCAGAGGCTGTGTGTGCTCTGCATCGATGTCACAGTGGTTAGTCTGCTAGCCTTTTAGAGCTGACCCATGTTCATGTTGTCTGCTATGTTGGGCCAGGGAAGGGTATGGGTCCTCTTAGGAGTATCACGATTTAGGTTATACGTTTTTAGAGGGCCGGGAATGTGCACTCCTATCTTGATCGTCTGTAACAGACCGGAACATCCTCAGCAAGTTTCTTTGAAATGTCTTTGTGACGTCACCCTCTCCTGTTGAACCCATTTCTTGATGTTAATAGTGACACATCTTGGAGGTACTGTTGTTGTTAGGTGCTCTCAAGTAGCCCCGATGCAGGGTGACTTCATGCATAACAGGATCAGACTAGTGATCCATAGGGTTTTCACTGGGTGATTTTTTTAAAGTAGATCACCAGACCTTTCTTCCTAGTCTGTCTTAGTTTAGAAGCTCCCCTGAAAACTGTTCAGCATCATAGCAACACACCAGCCTCCACTGATAGATGGGTGGTGTTTAAGTTATCTAGGGCCGCTATAACAGAAATACCACAAGCGGATGGCTTTAACAAATTTATTCTCTCACAGTCTAGTAGGCTAGAAATCCCAGTTCAGTGTGCCAGCTCCAGGGGAAGGCTTTGTCTGTCAGCTCTGGAGGAAGGTCCTTGTCATCAATCTTTGCCTCAACTAGGAGCTTCTCAGCACAGGGACCCTGGGTCCAAACACGCACTCTGCTCCTGGCACTACTTTCTTGGTAGGATAATTCCCTCTCTCTCTCTGCTCAATTTGCTCTTTTATATCTCAAAAGAGATTGACTCAAGATACAACACAATCCTGTAGATTGAGTCCTGCCTCATTAACATAACTGCGTCTAATCCTGCCTCATTAACATCATAGAAGTAGGATTTACAACATACAGGAAAATTACATCAGATGACAAACTGGTGGACAGCCACACAATGCTGGGAATCATGGCCTAGCCAAGCTGACACACATTTTTGGGGGACACAATTCAATCCATAACAGGTGGTGTCTGTGCTTGAGGTGCATTGGCTGGGAATTAGACCCAGGTCTCCTGCATGGAAGGTGAGAATTCTTCCACTGAACCACCAATGCCCCCAATGTTTTTTATTAGTATTTAATAATTAGGTACTAAAAAGTAGATTGAAAAGCCCTATGTTCACCGGCAGGGCTAATCAGCTACTGGGGCTTCACTGTAGTGTGATGAGCCGGAGACTGCAATGTCACTATCTCTATGTGGGAAGGAACTTCTAATATCCTGTCTCAGAGGTGATTGGGGGGTGGGTCATGCCTCAAGCCTTTCCCCCTCCCTCTGAGTTCATTTTTTTATGTTAATAGTGACACATCTTGGAGGTACTACCAACCCTAAATAATCAGATAAGAGTTCTATAGAAGCTGAATGAGAAGAAGGCTTGATTTGTTGTTTTTCCTTCTAATAAGGCAAAAACAATTACTTTCCCTGCCCTTAGAAAAGTATGAGTGTTGACCTCATAAAGCAAGAGAAAACAGCTCAGCTTTTGCTGGAGCAATGATTTGGTCTAATTTGGTCTAATTCTGGGAATGCTTTTGAACAGACTTGGGGGATGCAGAAGCAGGACAGCCCCTCAGCCTGCACTGTCCTGATTTTATCATTCTGTGTGTGTCATTATGCCCATCTGTCTTAGTAATCTAGTGCAGCCATAACAGAAATACCACAAGTGGGTGGCTTTAACAAACAGAAATTTATTTTCTCAGTTTAGGAGGCTAGAAGTCCAAATTCAGAGGGTCGGCTCTAGGGGAAGACTTTCTCTCTGTGTCAGCTCTGGTGGAAGCTCTTGTCTTTTCAGTTTCTGCTTCCTGGTTCTTTGGAGATCTCCATGTGTCTTGGCATGTATCTTATCCCATCTCTGTTTCTCTTGTTTGCTTGTTTAAATCTATTTTATATCTCCAAAGAAGTTGACTCAAGACATACTCTACACTAATCCTGCCTTGTTAACATAAGAAAGACAACCCATTCCCAAACAGGATTATAATCACAGGCATAAAGCTTAGAAATTACAATACATATTTTGGGGGGACACAATTCAATCCATAACACCATCCATACCAAATATGAATAAAAGGGAATTCAAATGCACTTCAATTACATATTGCAAAGCAAAATAAAATTACTCTTCATTATTCCAGCTTTGGATTACTAATGCCATTTCTAGATCATTCCTGTGAGTTTGAGGACTGACACTCTGTTCCTGCCTCACCCTTTAGGAGAATGTTGCTGAATCCATTCCCTTCTTAGCTGACCTGGACACTACCCTGGTTCTTGGTTGGAGCTTCAAAAGTTTTTCTCTATGATACAGCACAAATGTTCCCCAAATGTTGCAAGACATCACTGCTAGGGTACAAGGAGGGTTTGAGAAGCAGTCTCATGGAAGATGTTATTCTGACCACTGGCTCAGGGAGTCTGCTGACAGGCTGATATCCAGATTCTATCTTACATCACCGTCTCATCTATTCCCGATCACTCATTCAACAGGAGATAGGTACAGAAGTCTGAGTGGCTTCCCCAAAACACCCTGAGAATCACTGACAATCAGAACAAGGGCCCAAATTTCTGACCCCTAGTGCAGTGTTCTTCCCACTACACCATGCTACTCCTTGGTTCTTCATTCTTTCTCCTCTCTGTAAGTTCGCCCCCTGCCCCCCAGATGCCCACCAGGTAGCACCTTTCCCCAGAGTCATGTGAATTAAGGCCATCAGCCTTCTCTGATGGTGGTGCCTATTCTAGTGTCCAGCCATTGCCCCTTAGAGCTTTGAACTCTAGGCCACATCCTTGGCATTGTGAAAATGCTCTAAGTTAAAGGAAGAAAGGCAAAGGGGAACCTTCTGACACTTGGCCCATGTGCCAAGGTGTTGGGTAGACTTTATCCAAGACCAAAAAGAGTGCAATGCCTGGAACCTCCCTCCTCTTAGGAGCCAGATGGAGGTGAATAGAGCACAGGAAGGAGTATGAGTGGTACTTCTTGCTCATGCTGTGCCTGCCCGGTCCTCTCTCCCAGTAGCAGGGTCAGAGTTGATCCTATGGGGCGATTGCCTGGGGTTGGTCAAAACCCTGACCCTTGGTATTTTCTAATTCATCATATTACTAGAGAACTCTCAGTTCCACCCAAGGCTCCAGGCACATTCTGGGGGGGTGTGAAGTTGATGCTGGAGGGATCCCAGAGTGG